TACACAAAGAGGGAGAAAACGAACGTTTTCGCAAAGTAATGCCAGAGAGAGCTTGACTTCTGTGTTGGGGAAGAGGCGAGAGGACTGTAAAACTTACGATGTGGCACATATTGTTACGGTTAAACTTGCCAATTGTTTGGGGTTTTTTGGCATTAAATTCGTACTAATTTTGGGTTTTTATGAAATCCTGTGAAAACACGAAGTGTGGATGTTCTGCGAGGAAAATGTTTTAAGTAAAGTTCTCACAGATAATCTTGTTTGAGCAGATTAGTTACGCTGGACCTGCTGCTCCTTTAGCTCGTAAGCACGGATTTTCAAACTTCTTCAGGTAGTGATGATGATGTATCGAGATTGTAAAGGACAATACAAGTTCACTGAAGGGAAAAAAAAAGTTTCCTAGGTAGATACTGAAATGTAATGCATAAGCAGAAAAGATACACGACTTAAAATATACCAGAAGTCTTAACTGTATGTTCTTCACATACGGCTTTTGAAATCCTGTACGGTTTTACGCATCTGAATTTAGTTGTGTATTTTTTGAAATGACACCGGACAGTTGCTCTCCTCGAGGCTCAGTGCTGTTGGCTGGTGTCACGTAGACCTCTTCGAGGCCATTATTTGGCCTGTCTTGGTGGGATGAGAGCCTGTCGTCTGACTGCTGGTTGGTTCCTTGTCAGTGGCATCCCGTTAAAGGGGTCTTGTTTGTGCCACCCAGTATTTTCCAGGTACTCCTGTATTTGAGATGGTTATGAAAAATAATGTTTTTCTGGCACTTTTGGAATACCATTCAGGTGGCTGCCTCCTTGCTTTGAAAGAGGTGGAAGAAGTGATGGTGTCTGAGGAAAGTCAGTCAGCTGACAACTTAGCTGCAACAGTCATTTCTGAAGATCCTCACACTGTTTTGGTAGAGTTTTCTTCAGTGGTGGCAGACACTCAGGAATACATCATCGAGGTAAGAAGTGGGGCGAACGGCCTTCTCATTCTCAACTTAGCACGGTATTTTGTCAATAAAAACTGCAGTTGTGCATGTTCCTCATTTAGGCTTTTGGGAGAAGGTAAAACAGGATCTAGCCAATGCCACCCCTGCCTGCATGACCCTAGGAACACGTAGGATTAATCTTGTTCAGAAGGAGAGCACCTGGAACCTGCTTCACCACCCTTCTCGAAGTCCTGCATGTAACGTAGGCAGGAAAATGAGAACGCAGGGAAGACTGACAGTAGTTCATCAGAAGGCTGAGACCGAGAACTTCTGACCATACCAGATTTTATGTCCTCGCAAACTTGCTTCAGCTTTCCCTCAACTTTTACCTCCTCTTTTCTCCCATTTCTATTTAGCTTATTTTGTCTGAAATAATCTCTGTTGTTTTTAACTGGCCGTGGCTGCCAAAAGCAATGAATTACGCATTTCGCTTTCTCCCCCTTCGGGACAAAGAGCCAGTACTCATCCATGCAGAAGAACACAGTTCATTTATTGACTCCCTTTAGTGCTGCCATAGTTTTTCTCCAATAGGAGAGAAATCTGCCAGTTGGCTGAGTCCTGCTGAGAGAGGACGTTCTCTTTCAGTTATTTGTGAGCACTTTGTATTACCTTTAAGTAGCTCTCGATAATGGGATTTGAAGGGAATTTCAAGGAGGAGTTGTCTTTAGAGTAGCTACTGCATCATGGGGGGGAACAGAAAGACGTGCAAAAGATCTTAGTGTCTTGTATCTTGGTAATAAAAGATTTTTTTGGTAACAATCTAAAAAGGGAATCATCATATTTTGTCTTTCAAGACTGCTACTGAAGACATGGAGACCAGCGAAGCTACTGAAATAATAGAGGGAACAAGACATGAGGTAAAACAGCCACGTAAACTATTATTTTGGGGACTTGCTATAGATGAAGTGAATCACTTTTAGCGTCTAAATAAACCCGACTTCAAATAATTAATTTACCAACCTCTAGTTTTGCAGACCTGTCTGTATGAAAACATAATACCGGTCATACTGGGTTTGACTGAGCTCTGTAACCCCAGATCCTCTTAGTGATGGTGGCTAGTGACATGCATGGCTTCACACACGAGAACATAGCTGCCGGCTAAGTAGAATGGTACAGTAACACTTCAGCCCGAATGCTAGCAATAATGGTGGCTGCAAAGTCAGAGGCTGGCCGGGCTCTTGACCTGCAGTCAGCCAGTTTAAATGTCTGGGCATGCCTTGTTAAGATTTTTCTGTAAACGATAGTTTGACTTTCTGTAGGAAGTACCCTGCTGGCGAAACATCTTCAGCGACGTGAGGTGTGACGTGTTTAGGAGTCCGCTGTTCTCGGGGTGATGAGAACTTCAGTGAGCAGCTGGAGGAAACTGGAATTAAATGCTGCTTGTTGTACTGCCCTGCTGGTCATCAAGCACCGTTTATGGTGGTGATAATTGTCTGTACTTCTAACAGAGTACAATACGCCAAGAAATAACGTGGCCTCTTTTCTCTTCATGTAGGTTGACAGCCACATTATGAAGGTTGTGCAGCAAATAGTAAATCAAGCCAACTCTGGTCACCAGATCATTGTACAGAACGTCACCGTGGCAGAAAACTCTGAAGTAACCACAGATGCTGCGGACACCATCACCATCGCGACCCCCGAAAGCCTCACGGAGCAGGTGGCTATGACGCTGGCTTCCGCCATCGGAGAAGGAGCAGTGCTGACCACCGAGGGCAGCATCGAGACAGAAGAAGCAACGGTGACGATGGTGGCATCCGAGGACATTGAAATAATGGAACATGCAGGAGAGTTTGTGATCGCCTCCCAGGAGGGGGAGGTGGAAGTCCAGACTGTGATTGTGTAATGAACAGCATGCAGCTAGTGACAGATGTTAATGTAAAACTTAACGATTTTTCTCCAGTTTTGGGGAATTTGATCAGTCCCAAGTTTGCCATTGTAATTGTTCAGAGAGCAAGGGAGAGAATGTTTCTATAGGTAAGTGGCTTAACAGGATGGTACAGCCCTGAGGTGTTTCCTGTTGAAAATGGAAATAACAGTAGTTAAACCTCTGCATGGTTGTACTGTGGGAGTGACTGATACGCCATATTTGACAGCCTCGGTATTTTGTACAGCTGCCTCAAAGAAAGGAAGACGCTTTGTGAAGCATTTACCTCTGACCACAGGGCAGTGGTGTTCTGGTGTTCAGATTTAAAAGGATTCAGAAAGTGAAGCAAGTACGTAGGGTCTCATAAGAGACTACTTGATCATATGCATTTAAAACCAACCAAGAAAACCAAACCTAAGGAGTTCTGGTGTGCATTCACCACCACTCAAAACCTTTCATGCCTTTAACCTCACTACTTTAGTCCTCCTAAGGCATGGTACTGCAGTATTTTATTTTATATCCCGGAAAGTAGCCTTATGTACTGGTCTATGAAAGAATGCATCACTGTACCCTTGCAATGCCAGACAGGCTACTCTGAGAGCTGGTCTGTTGGTGTGTAAAGCCATATTGTATATGATTATTTTTTTTTTTTTTTTAGAAACCATATATGGATTTTTAATTGCATATTGTACAGATTCGGCATGTAAATAAATACATTTTTAAAAATAAAGTTATTTGAAGTTCTTACTATATTTTTCCAATTTCTGCTCTATTACCCCTCAAACAGAAGAATTTCTGGAAGAGAACAGGGCCACTTGACATCGTGCTTAAGAAACCCTCATCGTTGGGCGAGTCAAACACGCTGTTTTTCCCAAAACAAACGCAAGCCTCTAAACGCAGCCAGTACATCTACGCTTTGGAGATCTTTCAAGTGATCTCTAGTTAGAGGGGTTTCAGGAGGTCACTTGCACAGCTGTAAGTTTACTTTTGTCTTCCACCATTAAGGCAGAGGGTTTTCCCGAGGGACACCGATGAAGTGCCTTTCAGCGTTCACCCTGTACAGAAGCGGAAGACCACGTTAGTGCTGCGCTTCTGAAGCGGCCTGTTCAGTGACTGCAGGTGGGCAGCCCTAGAAACAGCCTCAGCAACTGTAACTTCCCCTGCTGCAAAATGCCCGAAATACAAAGAAATGCCTAAGATACGGTTGAGCCTCTTGCTGTGAACAGATATATCAAACAATACAATAAAGATGAGAAATGCCAGAAGGACTGAGTTTGTAATCTGCCAGGACCTGATGTCCGGAGCTCAATATCAAATCTCTGATACCCTTGTCAGGATGCCGAAGTTTTGTCCAGAAGTCCACCATTTTTGTGACTCTAAGGCTGAAATGGCGTCTTATTTTGAAAGAGCTGAAAACAGGTATCAAGAAAGAGACTTAGCAGGTAAGGAGAAGTAGCACTTGTGGTAGTTTCCCTCCTGAAATTAAGGTCTTCCATACTAGTACAAAGCCACAGTAGAACAGGGTTTCTGCAGGTTCAGATTCTGCCAGTAAATTTCCAGCTAAATACACGCAACCTATTCTACATACTGTTAACAGTAACGGGTTAATCGTTTGCCAAACAAAGGTACTTACAAAAAGATGAAGCTTCCTCGAAGTTCACAGCAGCTCTTTGTTAGCTCTTCCCTTGCAAGGGCACACACGGAGAAAAAGATTCACTTCAGTAAGATGGACCGAACTTGCCTCTCCGTGCCAGCAAATTTGGTCCCTCTAACAAGGAACCGAGAGGACTAAGCTTAACCTCAGAGATCTCACCAAGTGAAGTATCTTAAATAGTGCTCTGCTGAGGCATTGTTAATCAGAATACTGCTGGAAATAGTAACTCACAGCTGAATACAGTCAGCTGGCAGTTACTCTTTTCCTACAGGGGGAAAAAAAAAAGGGAATAGTTGACAAATATGCGCATTCGGATGTTTATCACTTCCACATGTGTGACTGCTATATTCCTGTGAAGTCTCCTGCAGGAAGACCTACTTAAGATGTACCAAACTAACTTAGGAACTCAGTTTGCCTATTACACAGTGGTATAATGCAGCATACAAACAGTAATCATAAAAAACCCCCGTTCCTTGTGTACGTGTTCCTTAGCTGAACCTCTCTCTAGTACAGCTTGCTTCAGTACTGCGATTGTGTCTGGAAAGACTAACGGGTCACTGTCAGAACTGGTACGAGCAGTGTTACAGATAAACTTGGAAGAACTCTAGTTTTTTGAAGACTGGTCGGCTTTATGAAAACATAGTTTCCAATTACTTCATTGAAATACAGTGATCTCTTTACAAAAGTTGTTTGGGGCATCAAAGCACGCTGCTGAAATAAAGTCTTACAAAAAGTTTGAAAAGGCACATATAATGTCTTCATGTTTTCTTCTTTCTTTCCAACACTGTAGGAGGCTTAAAGATTTCCTTTAAATTCATCCAGACTCCTTTAGAATAAGTGTTTTTGTAGACACGTCTGTCATGAGGCTGCAGTGTTAGATGGTGGGACCACCCGTATCTTCTGGATTTATACCATTCGTTGGAAGTTTGGTTGGTTAAGGCCAAATATAGATGGAAGCAGCAGTACGCACCCAGTACGAGTGTGAGAAGAATAACAAAACCAAGCATGAAGACAATCCTAGGAAAAGTCAAGAAAAGGTGCTGCAAAGAAAGAAAATAGTAACTTAGTTAAAAAGTTGGAGCATTAAATCACACGGAAGCGTGTGACCACTGCAACACGCCAGCTGAAATGCACATCCATACGCACACGCAACTGTGCAGCTCCAGAAATAAGGTCACAGCCCTATCCCCCATCCAGCTCAGCGACGGTCCGTTCCTAATTGCATCTTTGAGTGAAGCACAGAGATTTCCAGAAATGTATTTCCTCACAAGCCATGCTAACATGCGGGAGCGTTTTCTACACCCATCTATCTATCTCTGAACGTTTGTATTTCATATTGGAATTTTGCTCGTTTGTTTTCTTGTTGCTTTTTTAATTAAAAAAAATCATTAATGCAGACCATCTGAAAACAAACTGCCAAATGAAGAGGCTACAATCTGGTACAACTTCAGGTTTTGCTGACACGATACAGCTGAAGCAGCTCTTTTCTGAGTTAAACTCCAATACCGGGGAGTGGTAACGGTACTTCTCAAACATGAGCAAACATTCCCTGACCAAGATCCCTTTATAAGAGTACAAGGCCGAAACATCTGTTGTCTAGGATGAGGAAGAGAGAAAGCATTTACTACTTAGCACCTCAGTGCCACGGGACAGAAAGGGATGAGGGGATTGAAACGCAAATGACTCAAGTGCTGGAGAGACTCAGAGTCACCCTTTGCTTGTACGTGAGAGAAAATATTCAAGTATCTAAATTCCAGGGTAGTAGGGTCCTGCTTTAACATCTCCATGAAGGTATCTCAAGGACTGTTAACTGTTTCCTAAATGTTACTGCAGTAGATGGTCACTGGAACATGAAGTCATTCTTTACGAATCAGATCTGCCAAGTGAAAGCAGTCTGGAGACAGAAATACGAAGAATGGGAGAGCTGAATGAAGTGCTATGGGAAAAATCCCATTTTTTTAAAGTAGTCTGCAATGGCAGTTTTCTAAACTTCATTAGCCCTGTAAGTCGGTAAAAAACTGCAGCCTGTCCACATTCTGCCCGTGAGAACAGGTGGACTTAAAAGATTCCTGAAAGCAAAGACCGAGATAAACCTTTTTATAGGCTAATAACCCAGAGAGCATAAACTTACCTGAATGAGGAAGAGAATCTCGACAGCACGCTCTTGCCCTTGGTCATCAATGTAACTCCCGCGCATCATGTTTGACAGCAGCACCACTTGGATGAGAAGCGCTGCTGTGACGATCGCAACGGTTGCAGCCATGGCAGTCAGTGTGACGAGGTACAGGAAGAAATACTTTGCATTGAAGGCACCGATGCAGTTGTTGACCCACACACAGTGGTGATCAAAACGATGTACACACATACTGCAGAAACCTGATGAGGAGCGACAAGACAGTTCAGTTGGTTTTGGTTTTTTTTAAGTAATCAATTTGATTTTTACACAGTTTAGGATAGTTTTTAATCTGAAAAAAATCAGAATTATGGACATGATTTAGCTGATAGTTTTTTAAGCAAATATACTAATTTCAACTGCGTATCATAAAAAATCCCCAATACTAAAGACATGTATCTCATTTCCTCTTTTATTCACCAAGACTGCAGCTCAAAGACTTTGGTTTCTCTGACAGTACTGCCTAGCAAAGCATATGAAAAGTAGAGACTGTAGCTCCCAGCTTTATTTTAGATGATAACAGCAAATTCTGCAAGAGAAACATAAAATCCTGAACTCAGGTCTTGACCGGTGATGATTTTTCATTTAACTTCTAGATGCTCAAAAGCTTGCCTGTTCCTGACCCCAAATGATACCCTCAGAACTGGTAATTTCTGTGAGAAGAAATAGCAGCAAAACAGTTCCAAGGATGGGCAAAGGGCAGCTGTGATCCAGGACCCCAGTAACACAAACATAATCCTGTGCGCGTCGAGCTGGATAACAGAACAGATGTAGTGTGAACTGCAATTATTGATGGAGAATTAATCTGGGAAAGTATTACTGCTGTGCCTATCCAGCAAGTTAAGATTCTTACTGCAATGTTTTGATCTGGCTGGCTTCTCCATGTTGCACGTAGGACACACGATGCCTTTCTGAAATAACACACCATCATACGCATAAATCTTAACCAACGATGCATGATTTGATTTTGTTATTATACCTGTGAAAGAAACAAGAAAAATAGTAAAAGTAATGCTGTTTGTAACATTTTTTAGGTTCCGTTTTCAAAGAGCTACAGCTCACAACCAGCGCGAGCTTACCAGGATTGGCCCGGGAGCAGAGAATGAAGCAGCCCATGTTCCCAGCCAGCAGCAGGTAGGGCAGCAGGAGGAGGAGGAGGTGGAACTGCAGCTCCCAGCAGTAAACAAACACTTCCCATGTGTACTCCCCATACACTGCAGCTTGCAAGGCTACGTGCAGGACGACGAACAAACAGCTTCTGTAACAGAAAGGGGACAGTCTATTTAATACTCAGCATCCTGCTTAACAGGTCAAGTACACTCGGAGGTGATCAGCAAAGACTTTCCAAATGCAAGGAGACACCTCTTTTAGGTTTTCAGGCCAGCATGGGTTGCATATTAATAGTGTTTTCGCCATCCGGTGGCTTCTCCTTCTCTTCTTCCCACATACGCTCCTTTAAATATGCCAGCTAAATTCACTTCCATTATTGTCGTGCCCTTTGGATTTTTTTCCCCAACAGTAGAGTCAAGTACAAAGCAGCCTTGGGGCTGACAAAATATGCCACAGCAGTAGGCCACAAAACATTCTGCCAGGAGACATTTGCTGTGTGCTGCTCTGAAAGTAAAGAAAACCCCAGTAAGAGGTAATCTTAAAAAACCCTGTAATAATATAAGCAGCTGTTACGAAATAAGCGTGGCAGGAGGTTTGCAATGGCGAACACTAGTTCCAACCTGTTGGCAGACCTACAGCTTCTGCGAGGCAAGTTGCACAACCGTTTGGCACGCAGGTTTGTTTGGGGTGCGTCATACTGAGCAACAACTTTCAGCAGCCTGGCAAATAGACGCTCAGATAAGCCACGCATTAGGAGAGCAATGTTCACTTACTACAGTTCTCTGCATTATGCATCAGTTTGCTGGACTTTTATTACGAGTTTTAAATAACCGGTGATGTGTATTTTACTACAGCGGGGAGTCCGTTGCAGACAAGCTCTCCTCTACTGCTCTCTCCTAGGCCATTTCTGTGTGCAATCCAGCAGGATCCTGCGGAGTCTCCTCTCAGCTGCAGGGCTACGAGAAGATAGCCTGCAAGTGCTGCACCTCACTGGACTTCTGCATGAACTGAAAAATCTCTCTCTTGAATGAGGGGACGCAGTCGAAGGCTGTGCGTGGAGGATCAAAGCGCCTCTAGCGCACAGCGTAATCTAGCAATGACAACTACACCAGGCTCATCAGATAATTGCTCTGCTGCTGACTGCACATTTGACAGCGTAACCACTCTCTCTTGGGCTGTTAACAGCAGAGAATCTGCACAGCAGGCAACAAAACACCTGCAGCACATGTTCCACAGCTGCAGATGTTACATCCCTGAAGTGTCTGTCATACTGGAGTTGCTGCCCCCAGAGGAAAGGTATTTAAATCGTTCCTGAAGCAGATCCTAAAAGCACCAAAGTTTACAGGACGCTACAAAATTCACCTTAATACAGCAGGCTGTACATTGGCAGCTGTGCAGCTTCCCCTTGAGCCCCCTGGACATCCAAGCTGCTGGACTAAGAATAATGGGATTTGAGGGAGAGGATGGGGATCGCTAGCTCTGTCTAAACTCTTTCTGCAGCTGCCAGAGAGCCTGTTGTAATTCTCTTGCGGACGCAGTCTCCCACCAGTGTGACCAACATCTGTTACACTGGAAGCTACTGAGCCACATTATCTTTATTTGTCAATATGTTCAAATATTTCAGGGTACCATCTTCCCAACAATAAGCAAGGAACAGAAAGACAACAGTGTGGCAAACCTTAAAGGGAATCTGTAACCCCCGACAAGCACCCCTAATGAGGAGAGAATATCTAAGCGTAATAGTGAAAGCTCTGATGGTGGCAGGAGGTCACCTATAGTGGCCAGAAATACTAGCTAAAAATAAGGTCAAAAGCATAAAAAAAAAAGTGCAATACCTTGTGTGGAAGAGCCTGTGAAGCACCCTCTGTGTCGCGGTCTGGAGCTGTGTGGGGATTACAAATGACAATACCTGAAGCAAATGAAAACACCGTTATCTGGATTGCACATCACTTCTGCCCTGTGGAACATTCAAACAAAAACATAAGTCACCTAGTCCCTCAGTTATATATCACTGCAGCCATATCGCCAGGGAGGAAGCTCATTTTCAGGGGCATCTGAGGTCCTAAGAATATAGGCAGGCACGTTGCTGGGGTTTTCAAAATGGGGGCGAGGTTCCATATTCTTGGAAGCCCAGAAGGCACAAACAAATGTATCTGGGTTAATGTGTGAAAGCTATAAGGAGCTTATATCAGGTTATAGACTGGGCAACGGGTTAAGCAGGGGATAGAACTGAGCAATTTCTGAACTACAATATGCTTCATCAGGACATCTGACAGATGCAAGCGGAGATAAGCAAAGGGATAAAGCCCGCTATCCTCCAGAAAAAGGAAAAAAAAACCCAACCAAAAACCAAACAAACCCCACCAAACCCAAAAAATCCACAGTTTCTTCAACTACAGCTATGATCCAGTCTGATAACTCCACGTCTAACTGCCGTTTCAAAACCAGCTAGACACAATGAAGAAGAAAACTGCCTGCCTTCATTCAGCAAAGTCCTCAGCAATAGTCTGTGAGTGCAGAATCGTTTGACTCCGCTGTTCAGAAGATGACAGATCTCTGTAGCAACATGCTGCTCCGTCAGTGGTGGAGGAAGTAGAGCAGCTGAGCCTATTTCTAGCTGACATGGAAAGAAAACATGCAGCGAGAGCTTCTTGTCTCAGATGTGAAAGACCAGAAGGCAAAAAGCATATGTAGAGTTGAGAAGATGTTAAATATTTTTCTTTTAACTGGTATGCCTCCTATCAGCAGTTCAAGTGACAAGTCTTTTTTAAAAGAGGCTGTGTACTGCAATAGGAAACGCACAACTGGACAGAAAAGCAACCTGCATGCAATTGCAAAATTCAAGTTTAAATTAACTGTATGTGTGTTAGTACAGTCTAACACTACATTCGATATCCATGATTCCCCCCCCGATCCCCTGTATTTCAGCCATTCCCTAAACCAAAGCAACAGGCTCTTACAAACACGATTTGTGCCTGCAGTGGCGATGAAAGACCTGTACAACGCATATAACCATCTCACACAGCCGAGCCGCTGGCAGCAAGGAAAACAGACCGGGGGGGGGAAGCTGACTCGTCACAGAGCTAGAAATAGCTGTGCTCTGTGCACGTTAATTATTTCATACCGCTGACAATGAATACTTCAAAGGATCTTACAGGAGTGCAGTCAAACAATTTCAACAACTTCCAGGCTTATACACTTCATTAACTACAGTCAGAAATGAATTTAAAATACAGTGGCTAGAGAACCTATTTAGGATTACCTATATTTATTTCATGCGTACAAGTATCGATTACGTTTCTCCAGACAGTGACTTTACATCACAGCAGTATTTTAATTGCTGATTGTTACACAAATTTCATAGAGGCGCCTATTAAGAAATGTGGGTAAATATTAAATTTATCTGCACGATGATCTCTGTGTCTATAAAGCAAAATGAAAATAAAGTGTAACCCTAGTAGCAAATTCAAAGTCCGTTTAGACTCACGTAAAAAGCATTAAATATTATTTACAACTTAAATGATGATTCCCTTATCCTTTCCCTTCCAAGAATGCTACACCTTTTTTTTTCTTCATTCAGACACAGCCCAATAGACAGAAAAATAAGCTAGTGCCTTTTCAATCCATTCCCTGTTTTTACAATAAAATGCCAATTCTTAATCCTCTTTTAAAGCTCTTCATTCCTCCTTCTTTCTTAGGAAACAACGGCCTGCAGCATTATTGCAGGCCCACATTAAAGAGCTTCCCCTAAAATATCTGCTACCCGTTACAATTCCCTCCCTGTTTTAATTCTCAAACCTCCCCCCACCTTTTTCCTCTTAATGACAGCAGCAAATACCGTAAAACTGCAAACAGTTGGGGCCTCGTTATTATTGAATTTCTCAAAGCCGACGTGTTACGGTGTCACTGAACAATGTACTTTCAGTATCGCGGGAAGCTCCGTCCTTAGGACAACCCCGCGGTGACCGCAGGCGGCCAGACCGGCACACGCAGGAGCAGGAGCTGTACGGCCCAAACGGGTTTTTACCGACCCGCTCGGGCAGGATCTCATCAGCCAGAAGGAAGCACAGTTCTGTTTCCAATCCCAGCCAGCACTCACCTGAGAGCACTGTCAAAACAGGAGGGAATATGAAATATACCGTACCGTCACTCTAACCACGTACACTAGCATTTTTTATGGAGGAGAAATACACTAATTTTAGCACGACAAACTAGGAGAGACCATCCGAACCACAGATCATTGCCCCGAAAGGTCAGTTCTTTACCTGGCTCGCACCGCTGACACTTCTTGCGAGGAAACTCGCCTTCCTTCCCGAGCAGGCGCAGAGCAGAGCCACGGCAGCGAGGACGGAACACAAGTAAACCACCAAGAGCGTCAGAAAGTCCATCCCGAGCCCTGCAACGCAACAGCAGCAGCTTATCGCTGCCCCTCGGTGCCAGCCCTCGTATCAGCCCCTCGGTACCACCCCTCGGTGTCACCCCTCGGTGTCACCCCTCGGTGCCAGCCCTCGGTGTCACCCCTCGGTGTCACCCCTCGGTGCCAGCCCCTCGGTACCACCCCTGGTGCCACCCCTCGGTGCCCCCCCTCGGTGTCACCCCTCGGTGTCACCCCTCGGTATCAGCCCCTTGGTGCCAGCCCTCGGTGTCACCCCTCGGTGCCAGCCCTCGGTACCAGCTCTCGGTGCCAGCCCC